CCCACGTGAGGGGGGTGGGGGGGTGGGTGGTGCACACGTAGGTACAATCGATTGCGTCTGCCAAGCTTTTACGCCGGGGGAGAGAAAACCGGCGAATCGACAAATTCGACGCGGCGCGCCCCCGTCTCCGAGGAGGGGTCGCTCACCACCGGCCCCGTCCATTTATATCTTCTTTCGTTCTCCGCCGCCACCCCCCACCCTCTCCCAACACATCCTCCTCCTCCACCTCCTACTCGTCTTCCAACTCCGTGGTGCCACCCTCCCTCCCTTCTCTCTCTTTCTCTCCCCTACTTTTTATTGCCATTTTTTTTTATATTCCCGGCAAAAGACGAAGCACCCCGTTATGCACGATAAAAAGTTTAATGTCAGAGAAGACGTCGCGATGGGGTGACGGTCGGCTGGGGGGGGGGGGGGCGATGGTAGGAGACGGACGACGGGGGTAGTAGGTAGGCGCGGGTTCGACGACGATGAAGAGAGGGTGAGGAGGAACGGCGACGAAGGTGGGGGTGGGGGAGGGGGTGAAAGTGCCCGGGGATCGTAATGACTCGATATGAAACCCGGGCAGTGCAATTTCTTTCTTCTTCTGCCCTTTCCTTCCTCCCCCGCGTGTCTCGACCGTCTTCCTCTTTTTTCATCGCAGTATTTCCCCATAAAAGCGGCCCGGCATAATAAAAACCGTTATATAGCTGGCACTGAAAAGTAACGCGCTCGCGCTCGCCTTCCTCTCCTTCTTTCTCCTTCTCGCGTGTCCGCCGAGCGCGGCGCAACACACATACACCGATGAGAATGAGAGAGAGAAGAGGACGGACGCGGCGTAAGGTCTTTTACGGCCTTATTTGCGGAGACGTAAAAATCGCGAAAATCAATACGGAACTTCTAACATTAAATATTCAGGTCTCTTTCGTATATACCTGAGAGTTCCACATAGGTCTCTCATCCATGGGAGACCGTCTTCCGTGACGCAATTCATAAGGTGCATATCCATTTGTTTACGTATAGTATCACCGTTGTGTATCATCGTTGCGTGCGTATCCGTATAAAAACGGTGGATACCATCTGTCACGAGAAATAAAGCATCAGTTCTTCCTATGACTGCAATGAGTTCGCCTCTTGAGTTAACAGTGGCTTTCAACATTTTTTTATGCTGAAGGACAAATGAAGGAAGTCACCGCGTTGGTGGTTGTCACAAATGTAGGAAAACAGAGGGAAAATACAGTGACTACTTCCTTTGAGAAGAATTGCACGCAAGATGAAATCTAGATTGCAAGATACGAGAGAGGAACTGTTAGAGATCTACGCACGTGGACACGCACCTTTAGAGATCGACGCACGTGGACACGCACCTTTAGAGATCCACGGAAGTGAACGGAGGACCGCTTCTTTTCGGTCCCCTTGATCACCATTCGCTATTTTGCCCATTCAAGGGTCAGATACATCGACTATCAGATCGTTCTACCTTTCGTAGCAATATAGGAACTTGATAACTAAAAGAAAAAAGGTCGTCGCTTTGTCCGATGTTCGATTAAAAACGATTTGCATGTATGAAACGATCAATCCCTCTCTCACGGAGTAAAAATGTCCATCCGATGCTCCTTTTACCGTACGCCGTTGTTTGATATATGAAACGATTAACGGTTTAACCGAGCAATTATTTCCAGGGAGAAGCGCAATAACCGACGATTCTTTCTGCAAACCAGAGCAATCAAATTTGACGCGCCGACGGATTGTTTCGCGAAGCGGTTCGCAGCACGATCTCGAATATCGTGAATTCCCGCGACAACACGGGTGTTTTTTTATTTTTTTTATTTTTTTCGGGACCAATACACGGTTTGTCTCTCGTTTCATCGTCGAGCCCAAAGTTTCCCGATGGTCGGTTAAAGGGTTAAGGAATAAATGATTTTCGCGACCAAAGAAAAAACGAAAAAAAAAAAACGAAAACGGGCATTTCGCAGCGTAACAATGCGTCACGACGACGAATTAAACGGCGCATTCAGTTGCTTCATTTTACTTGCATGCGAAAATTCCATTGTTGTTCCGTGGAATAATTTTCAAGGAATTACGCGCGGACCCCGTCGCGCTCGCGGGTGTGTGCGCGCCGCCAGTCGATAGAAACGCGACGGGGGGAAGTAGGGGGCGAAAAAGGAAAACGAAAGAAACAAGGGAGAGGGGGAGAAAGAAGTCAACGGGGAAAGAAAAAAAGAAATATCCAGCAACGAAGTTGAAATAAAGAAAAAACAAAAAAAGAGTCAATTTATAGTTCGCGGGATAAAATGCAAATTATTGTGGAACGGGGTTCGCGAGGGTGTGTCTCGTTTTGATTTCTATAGGGTGACTCGATGAATTTCTGAAAATTTCCAGACGTATGTGACGATTCGGATAGTAGAATTTCTCGATCGAAATCTATCGCCGCGTCGAGTCTCGTCCTTTAAGCCCCCGAATAGGTCTCGTCGTTTTCATGTCGAATTAACGATGAAGAATACTTTTCTATTCGAATATCGATATTTTGTGTCGAAATTTAGTGCGACGATATATTCCAGTATCGATACTTAACCTCTTCAGTGCTAATTATTAAGGTTCTTTTTCAGCTGTATCTATTTAAAATATATTTTTCAATATCAATAACATTCAATTGGTAGGTTATCCTTTGTTTGTTAAGAAATTTCCGAATAAATGTTTACATACAATAAAATCCATTGTATCTTTTGAATCATGCTTAAATAAAATAAAAACTAAACGTACATATATGTGGCAGTATTCCTGTCACCCCCTTAAAGTGAATGTTAGCCGAAAAAAATCATTCCTTGCATAACTGGATGTCCTTTACAATCCCACAAAGTTCCATTAAAATCAGAATCTGCGGGTCGGAAAACCTTCCTTGTCAGTACATATCTGCTTAAATAAATGATTTATTTTGAATTTTTCAATTTTATTATATCTAATTTAATTGCAAGTATCAATACCGATAATATCGATATTTTATTCCCGATATACATGTGTATCGATACTCTGGTTACCAATATGTATCCATACCATATATCGGATACAATTCAAATTGTATCGCCATCGCTAGGCCGAAACCTCTAAAGGGGTAAACTAGATACAACGACCTGTCGATAGTCGCTGACAAAAGCTGGAGCCAGGAGCCCGGTTGATTTACGAGCACGATATGAGAATCCCGTTAACAAACAAACTAATAAACGATGTAATAAATCTGAATAGGGGAATCAGAGGGGCGATTTGTACGCTGTTTTAATAGAGATGTCAATGTTTCCGTGTGAATTAATGCGCGCTTCGTACCCCGTGGCAGACGTGGCGTTACCAACGGAGAATCGTAGCTGTCCTAAGAAGGAAAAATGATTTTCCCCGATCGGAGCTTAACTCTCGTGGAAAATTCGAATATCAATTCGGACGTGAATGCATCGATGCTCGACAGTTTATAGGACATTCCATATCGATATCATCCCTGGTGGTGATATTTTAGAAACGAGTTTGTAACGTCGACTACGGAACGTTAATTCGCCGAGTGACAGCCAGCGTTAAAGCTTCTTCCGTGATTCTCTGTTACACGGTAACCAGATTATCGCGGGGGGGTTAACGGGAGACATACTGGGAAAGGACGGGGCGAGAGGAAAATTACGATCAGAACCGGTCGACATGGATGCTGACGGAGGATGTGTCGTTTCATAAACGACGTGTCGGTAAATGAATTCAGGATTAACTGAAGTACCCGGTCGATCGACGATGCTCGAATAACACAGATGTATGTGTATATGTAGGGGAGGGGGTGGGGGTGTATCCTGGACCACTTTAAGCCGCTTTCATACGAGGCGTCTTTAACGAAACGATCCTAAAGCCGCTTCCCAGAAATTCCTTGGATTTATGAAAATTGTCCTGTTTCAAACTGAATTACTATAACAGAAATTACATATACAAAGTATTCGCACACCTTTATAACAGAACAATTTTTTTAAATTGGTCCAAGCGACTTGAGTTCTTTTGTGAAAAACAATATTTGAAAAAGGCTGCAATTAATCGGAATCGCGAAGGAAATAATGAAGGTCGCTTTTTACAACTGGAATTACAATTCGGTCGGAAACTTTTGGCAGTCACCATGAGCGTAACCAGGGGGGCCCCATTCCCCCCCCCCCCTGGACGTAAAAAAAGTGGCTTTTACACTACTATAGAAGAAAAAGATTGGAGTTTGCCCCCCTGCCTCCCCCTCTCCAGAAGAAAAAAATTAGATTTTGCCACCCCCCTTCCCGAAGGAAAAAGATTACATTGCCCCCTCCCCATCCCGGAAGAAAAAAATTACATTGCCCCCCCCTTCCCAGAGGAAAAAAAATTACATTGCCGCCCCCTGACTGATAACCTGTCTGCATGCAAGACAAGATTTTCTCTGAGAGTCAAAAATCCTTCTCAAGGTTCGTGTGTAACCGACTTCAAAAACGACAGTAGGAAAAAAATCCCAGTAGCCGGTGGAACCGTGAGAGTAGCCTGTTCGTCGAGTGCTTCATTGACTTTCATGACAGATCTGCACGTGCTGCTGGGGCTGGGGGACTCGACCGTCGAAGCGGAAATACATATTTTATCGGCGCTATTCGGGAACCGTCGCTCAAGAATTCGCTCCCGCGTCCCCATGATCCAGCGATCTATATTACAACGGGTCCCAGACACGTTTCCAGACACCGAGAGACCGATTCCGAGCTGATTTTCCCCTCTTCGCAATTAATCATGTCGGACGCGCGCGGCATCGTGGTGCCCTTATTAAATCCCGTGAATTAACCGCCATCCGGAGGTCCTTAATTACAAGAGCACGTCCTCTCGATTTCCATTCCTGTCTCTGTCCCTTGAACTCGGAATGTTTGTCAAGGTTGGATCGTATTTAGCGTGCGCGCGTGCAACCGGTTTCCCTACTTTTAATCGTCACAGTCGGCCGCAACACACCGAAACTTCCATTAACCCGCGTCATTATTCTTGTCCCGTTGATTTTCTTTTTCCAGGTGGTACTGTCAGCGTGCAGCACGTACTTCGACACAATTCTGTCCCAGTACGAGGAGAAGGACCCGATCGTCATAATGCGCGACGTGAAATTCTCGGATATCAAAGTTCTGGTCGAGTTCATGTACAAAGGAGAGATCAACATCGATCACGTGAGTATTTTTCATGATCTTTAATAGGTTAGTTTAGTGTCTGCGAGAACCGTAAATTGTCGCTGGTGCAAATTTTGTTAAGTACATATTCATTTGGCTAGAGTCAATGGAGCCTCGATTACCTAGAACATAGCTTCCCAAACTGTTTTGACTCACCGCTCGCTTTTCAAAGTTTTTTTTTCTGTTCAGCGCCCCCTTCGAGTAAACTAGCTCTGTTATCAACATTTTCAAGTGTAGTTGTGTGTGTAATCTTCGAGTAGTAAAAAGTTAAATTGTAAATAAAGAAAATAAAATTGAATAACTGGAACGCCCCTCCAGATCTCCTCAACGCCCACTTTGGAAACCTATGTTCTAGAATGAAACTACTCTTATGAATACTTTACTGCACCTGCTTAATATTTTGCTAAATCTTTGGAAAATAATGTTATTGGGTCATTCCACGCCAAATCGATCACTATTTTCCTTCGATGTCTGAGATTCTGTTCAACATAGCATATGATACAGTTCACGTGGAATTAGGGGGTGTTTAAGTCATCATTTTTCGAGTTTCGAATTTGTTTAAGAAATACAGGCCTTTCAATTTTGCGATTTGCCGATCAACCGAATACGGTAAATAGTTTCCGAGATATAAAATCGTAAGTACAATCCACATTCACGAAAATGGGCAAACATCTTCGTCGGTGACAAAACGTACAAATCCCCTCCACGATGCCCTAAAGGCGGGCATTTGATTGAAAAGGCCTGGGTTCTATAGTTCCCAAGTCGGCCGCGAGATTCGCCCATGTTGGTAATTACAGTTCCCATCCATACCGAATGTGTTAACTGAATTTCCAGACGAATGGAGGAGTCGTTGAACATTTTCCCCCCGTTAAATGTCAACGAGCTCGCAGCAACCGCCGTTTCGCGAGCATGTCTCTCGATGTGCAGCGTGCGTCGCGGATTCTTTTTTTTTTCATCTTCTTTCACCAGGGACGAAATTACTTTCGAGTCGCGGGACAAAGGCGAAGTTCGATGCGGTCTGAGAAACGCTGGTTCCCGGCCGAGTGGCGAAATTAAAGCTGATTAAAGAAATAAAGCCTCGGCCCCATCTCTTGCTCCCTTTTCAAACCCGATAGACGACGACGACGACTTATTTACATCGTGGATATCGCGAGGGGCACTTGTGTCGCGGGGGAATGCGGTGCCTCAGTTTATTAATAATTGAAGAAGAGCACTGTGTCTTCAAAGCAATCCTGGACGTGCCCATTAAATCCCGGGAACATCCCGAAGACGCGATTCGTTTGGACGCTACCGATTAATCATGACTTTCTTCATCCGTTGCTGGGTGGATCGGCGTGAAGAGTTTGTTTCGATTTAGAGACGATCTCCAATGGAAAATCGAACCTATTTCATAAGTAAGGCGGTCTTTAATTAACCGGTCAAAGGAATACGGTCCCACAATTGATCTGCCATCGTGAAAGACACAGGTTCTAATAGATACAGTAATGTCTCGATGAGTGCAACATACTCGGGTCCTCTTTGGAACATTCATGGCAAGGCGGAAAGGTTTTCAGCCCCTCAAGTCACAGGAGTATTCGTACCCTCGCAATTCTTGAATTCTAATGATTAATATTCCTTAATAATATACAGTCTGAAACGTTTGCCAATAAGGATATATTGTGCAATGACTAAGTTTTCGAATGATGTATCATTAATTGAAAATAGTAATGTACGTAAATGGAAACATAAGCAAATCAGCGAAAATTTAAGCTCATAAAAGTATTCTAATTCGTACAATTTAAAGAGCCACAGGCAATTTACAAATATTTGCAAATATTCTGATTCCACAAAGATATTTTTGAGAGCTTCATTTATATTGCTATGAATTTATATAATATAGATATTATTATATTACTATGAGTTTTCACTTATATTACTATGAATTGTTACTTTCCAATAAACAACGCATCATTCAAAAGCTTAGATATTGCACTCCATACGCCTATTGATAAACATTTCAGAATGTACATTGTTAAAAAATTATTAAGTCAAACAAACAATTGTTCTTTTCCAGTCTTAATAATTTGTCCCTGAAGAGGTTAGTCACGAACCGGAGACTATCCGACTTGTTCTCTTTCACGATGAACTCTCAGTTACAGGAGCCGAGCGTAGAAATACGTTACGAAGAAAACTGATTTTATGTTGACTGTTTTAATCTACAAGCCGTCGTTTACGAACTCGTTAAAGAAATATACGAACGCGTACAGGTGTTCGCTGCTCCTAGCTCTTCGGCTGGCATCGGAGATGGCAAGAAATAGGACAGCTGGCGCACCGATGGGACCGGCGTCGTTCATTCTTTCGTCGTAGAAAAAGATAAATTACGCTCGGCCAATGAGCACCGGTTAATTAACTAATAACGGACCGCGTACAATCAATAGTATACCCGCTTCCTACCGAGGCACGCAAAAACGAGGCGGAACCGTGTGCAACCAACACGCGGGGGGGCTAAAAACCGGCCACCGGAAGTTGGAGACTCGACCGGAATACTGTTTCATTAGAGAATCCTTGGGCACTTTCTGGCCAGTTAAGAAATTCTACGAATTATTCTCGTGAGAATAGGAAAACTGCCAGCTATAAAAAAAGCCAAATTCTACTGTTTCGATTTCAGTAAATAAAGTGACCAAGAAAATATACACTGTACACTTCAATCCTTATGTATTGTGGTTAAAATAAAAGCTAACTACTTGTTCTTCTAGGGAACGTAATCTATCCTTTTTTCTGAAGAAACAATATCTGAACATGATTTTGAGTAAGGGATACTTTTGTTCGTTTTATGTTAACACTATACTGACCGGTAGCCTGTGTCTATTTTCGGATGTCAGTCAGTAAAGTGTTCATAAAATCAAAAAACGATAGCTAAAACTATTTAATACGTTCTTATTGTTTTTATAAACAATCTGCTCACAATAAATAACGGCACTAGCAGTCACAGTAACACCGTTCTCCTAATGTTTGGATGTCATATAACTGCCGATCATCAAGAAATGTTCCAAATATTAATATTATTAATTATAGAACCACAGTCCATAAGAATTGAAAATTTTAGGGCGGTTTTATAATTCACATCACTCAATGGATGAATCTATCTCGATCATCCGTACCCAACAATTTTCTGCTTCCTTTTGCAGTTCTTACAAGCCACCTTATATTTATTATACCCAGCTTCTCTCCACCTAAACAACACCGTGACACCGTCGTTTCTCTCCGACAAGATCGTTATCATTAGATGATCTCTCCCAGATCTCGCGGGGCTCCGTAAACCACGCGACATACACTGAGAATCGAATTCATAGTGGAGCAAGAGGATCCCATAGAAGACGAACGAGCTGGTCCTCCAGTTCTTCCGGATTTCTATTCGTGATCAGACATACACAGTTCACCGAGGAGCTTTCTCCCCGCTCGAGACGGTTTCGCCCGCGGAAAAATCCGTGGTTGTCTCCTTTGGTTCAGAGTGGAATCCTCCTGCTCGAAGTTTGCGAACGGGAGCTTTGCGCCTCGATCGGATTTCCAAGTCGCAGAAAGAGGTGGTACCACACGGCACCGGGTCGCTTTTTTGTTTTTTTTTTTTTTTTTTTTTTTTTACCAACGGCGAGCTGAGAAACGAAAGCGGCCAGGCGGTTTCTGAAATGCACATTATTCCCGGCCGCGCAGCCGGAGACGCTGACCCACATAAGCATTTTTCCAATTCCGGCCGTAGCCGATAGAAAGCCGTGGCCGCGCCGTTCGTAGAAAGTTCCCATATAATTTAGCATTCTCTCGGTCGCGCGCCGGCATTATTGCGGTGAAAATTGGCAAATAATAATTGGACCTATTCTATCGACGGCAGCAGTCCAGCTGCCCGTCATCGTCGTCGTTCTTGGCCCGATATCGGCTTTTTCCCTTATTATTCCCCACCTCGAACCTGGAGGAATCTGTACAGAATTCCCCTCCCTTGGTGTGGTCCTGCCACTGGATCCCCGGCGCAAATCGAACAAGCCACCAGATTAATGAAATTACAAAATTTTACCGTTCCGCCCCGGTCGCGATCGCCTTTTTCCGTCGGTCTTCTTCCATCGTTCGTCGAATAATTCGATTCCACCTGGTTACCGTCGACGGGTAAAATTCCTCGCGATCCTCCTCCTCCGGACCGAAGAAGCGACGTACTTGTCCGACATGGTGAACACACTTAGGGGGTTTTGATCCGTGCCAGAACCTCTGAAAACCACACGTACGTGTTTTAACCAGTTTATGCGAGAACCATCGCGACGGTGTATCGCAAAATGGCCGGTTAAATGTATTATCCCGGTTGTCTGGTAGCTCTTGCCAGAAACGGTTCAACCGTGTTCAGGCGGAATGTCGGGTGAAAAAGAAAAAATTGTGGGGGTACTTACCTTGATTAGTCGAGGCATGTTTCCAGGCGGCTGAGTTACTGGTAGATTGAATCACGGTTCTGGTAGAAGTTTCAATTCTTCATAGGTCAATGGTGGATTCACTGTTTACAAATTCTTTGAGCTTAGCGTCTAGCTGGTGCTACTGTTGATGCGAACGACAACACCAACCGAGAAGTAAAGCTGAAAGAAGGATCTTAAGGAAACTTAGGATCCCCCAAGACTCGATTGGTCTCGATGTGTCTGTGTGTCTGGATTAAAAATGCGTCTGTCTCTTGTTCCAGACGAGACTGTCATCCCTGCTGAAGACCGCGGAGGATTTGCACATCAAGGGCCTGGCCGAGGTGAGCTGGCGCAGCGATTCCACACAGAACGACCTGAGCAACAGCGGACACAGTCCCGGCGCGGCGCCCCCGGGCGTCGAGACGGTCCTCAGGGAAGGTGACGCCGATGAACCACCGCCTCCGAAGCAGAGACGCAGAGGACGCCCGCCCCTCGACGATCCACCGTCGGCCCACGATGTCTTCACACCGAAAATCACCTGTATCACCGGAAACGTAAGTTAGATTCATGGGAATTTCATTATCACGCATAGTGATCCATCCGATTAGTACACAATTAGTGAGGACACCTGTGTATACAGGTAAAACTAATCCCTGGAACACTGTATCCATTGCATTTTCACGGTAATATTAACTGTCAAAGACACGTGCGCGTGTATTCCGTGCGCCAGCGGTACGGAGAAGTCGTTTATTTCTTTGAATTTCTTTTACTCGAACAATGTTTTTCTTCATCCTAATAATTACCAACCAGTATAAAAATTAAAATTATTAAATTGCAAGATCTGACAAAAGGCCTGCTGATGCCTTGTAAAATTATGAAAAAAGCCTATTCACGATCTGTGTACTTGAAGATTAAGTATCGTTGATAAATCAGCCACTCGATGCCCAAGAAGTTAATTCTTTTTATTTTCTGACGGTATTCGAACTTTTTCTCGGTCACGCAGGAGGAAATGATGAGCGAGAGCGGCGACCACGAGAGCTGGGACGACGAGATGATGATGAACGAGAATAACGAAACGCCACTGCCGGTGGTAAGCGAGCACTTTGCCATACCTTAAGAATTTGTTCCACGTGTTCACGCCGATGAACGGACCGAGTTAACGTGTCTATTTTCTTCCAGCTATCGTACATGTCCAAGGATGACAGCTCATGCGATCAAGAAAAGAAAGGTACGCGCGGAGTATTACTAGGACATCTCCCGCTGGAACCACCTCGTTAGTTTCGGCCAAGGCTTGAAAGGGTTCCGAAAAATGACTGTTTCGAACTGTTGTATAAGGTTTCGATTGAGACAGTTATGGAAATCCTTTATTCTGAATAACTGTTATGAAGAACCTAAATTTCAGACTATATCTAGTTCCTATAACTGTGATTTTTAGGTTCTATATAAGTTCCAATACGATTATAAACTCGATTCTCGTAACGACTGTACAGAATTTTACAATGAATGAAATCACATAACATATTACTGTACATCTATAAGCATATTTTTCGCGAAGTAGTGGTAAAATTTTGTTAAACAGATAGATTCACTTTTCATATAACAAAATAATTGTACATGTAATAAATGTGTGTTGTAATTAATACAAATTAATTGTGTACGTATGTATTTACTTACTTATTCAAAATAATTTTTAAACATTTTCCTTATACGTAGTGATCTTGTAGCTGTAATATGATGAGATTTCATTTACTGTAGAATTCTATCTGTTATAAAGTTACAATTCAAACTTTTCTGTTTCTGATCCCATTTACCGCAATTGTGAAACAGCGAATTCTTTCTGTAATGATCTTGATTCTTTTATTAACTCTATCCAAACTTTCAAAAACCACGTTTACAGTGTTTTGTAATTACCATTTTGTTTTTTCACTTTTCTATTTCTCAGTGAAATATTTCATTAAGTTTTATTATTCGTCCTATATATATTTAGTATAAACATGTTCACATTTTTTTTCTCTTACATTCTAAGGGGAATAATCCCGTAAAATAAATAAATAAATAAATGCTGTACAATCGTGACGAGAATCGGTTCTATAACTGTTTCGATATTTATATAGACCCTAAAAAATAACGGTTATAGAACTGATATAGGAACCGTAGCTGAAACTGATACAGTGAATCCTCGATGAGTGTTCGAAGGCTCTTCGGCACAGAACATTAAATATTCCATAAACTAATACCTTAAAAATCAGCGTTGCACCTGGGAATCTCTCCTTGTCAGCGTCGAGGAGCTTTCGAACACTCATCGAGGATTTACTGTATAGTGTGAAATTTAGATTCTTCATAAGTGTCATTCAAAATAAAGATTCTTCATGACTGTTTCAAGAACCTAATTTGATACCATAACCGTTTTCAAGCTTTGGTTTCGGCCAACGAGAACGTTCGAGCGAGAGACCCAGTAATCATCCCGTTGTGCGAACCATGCGTGCGTGTATGTGTGTATACGTGTCCCGACCGTATGCCCCCGGCAGAGTTGGGTGAAATGTAATCTAGTTACAAAACCTAAATTGCAATTACAATGTAATTACAATGTAATTGCGGTACAATTACAATTACATTGTAATTTTTATTGTATATTTAGTATAGTTAATTACAACGTAATTGTAATTGTGATTGTCTTGCAATTACATTGCAGTTACACTGTAATTGTGATTTGAATTTCGTAATTACATTACATTTTGCCCAACTCTGGCCCACGGCAGACGTCAAAAGAAATCTAATCACGTCCGTTTGATTTTCCCGCAGTGCCCGTCACACCCTCGAATTCCAACGCGACGAACCCATCGATTCCCGAGCAATTCCGAGACGTCGTGAAGATGAACGATTACCTGACGACAGGACGCCGCCAAGAATTCTGGGAGGAGCCGTTCACGCGACGCGTTATGGACGCCATTAAGAGCAAAGAACTGGAAATGAAGACTGCCGCCGAGATACTCGGCGTCTCCTACGGAACCCTCTACGGCAGATATCGCGACAGTTATGGTTGCCTTAAACATCCGTATAGGTAAATGGACGACACTTGACGATGCACCCTCCACCCCACCCGTCTCAAGACTCTCGATCTTTGTCACGACACCGGTTATTATCCTCTCCTCCTCAGTATTTTTACGAGCGCTCGATCTTCGTACACATCGCGAAAGTTTTCCATCCACTCTGACCGTTCCGAATGTGCAAATCTCGATGGGGAAATTCACGGTTTCGCGAACCACCCGTTATTCGGACCAATTATATATTTATATATATAGCTCGGTGCACGTGAACCTCTTTCCAATCTATACAAATCCCCCCCACGGAAAGCAAATCACGTGAAAACACGAAAGAATATACAGAAATTCCAATAGACCCAGGGCCTTACTCACCAGAGATTTTCTACGGTATAAAAAAAAAAGAAATGGGGAGATCGAGTGACCTTGATCCAGTTCAGCGAAATCGGTGGTGTTCTTGTTCACAGAGTAAGGGACTTCTGGTCCGAGCCAGGCCCGGCGGAAGTGCTGGCCAAGCTACGAAGGAAGGAGATCACGTTGTTCCGCGCCGCCGAGTTCCTCAATGTGACCGTCCACACGTTGGCCACCTATCTGTCGACGTTACAAGGACCGGACAGGATCTCGTTGGCAGGTGATCTGAGCGTTGCGTCGAGCGCCGTCGACGGTAGCAACGACACCGCCGAGAACAACGACACGATGAACGATATACTGCAGAAGATCAATGCGAACGCGTCGACCACAGGGACGCCAACCACGTCGACGCCGATAAAACGCGAGGGAGGCGGTTACATCGAGGTGCCGACGTCCGTACCGAAAGCGGCCACCTCGGTGCTGGAGAACAATCCGGACATCACGATCGTGAAGACGGAAAACATGCCGCGCAAACGGGAATACGCGAAGCTCTCGAACACGGAAAACAACAACGCGAAGCTGATGAGCGGCGGCGCGGTCAGCGAGCTTACGCAGCCCCCTATGCCGCAGCAGCAACCACAACAACAACAACAACCGTCCCAGCAACAGCAACAACAGAAGATCACCGATCCGCTGTCGTTAAACAACGACAACAGCAAACCCTAACTATTCAGGCCTTATCTGCAACCGGCGAATCCCCGTGCACCGAGCGCTAGCTACAACAGGTCCGAGCTGTGCCCGCGCAGATTCTATTCGAACGTGTTTACTCGCTTTCTCACGAATTTTCATTTGAAGTAGTAGACAAAGACGAACTTTGTGGAGGGAACACGCGGTATTGTTAACGTCCCGCGAGGAAAACGCGTGATTCTTTTTTTTTTTGTTTTTTTTTGTTCTCGACGCCGCCGTCTGACTTCTCCTCCTCTCCCCATTCGTTGACGCCTCCGCGCACACGCCGACACAGAGAAGTAGCTTTTAGACAATCGTACGATCGTCATCGTGACACGCCTCACACACATAGACACACTGGTTGGAGGTGGTTGCATCGAGGAGAAGAGGGTCGAGTCGAGGAAATGGAATGGAAAGTGAGAAACAGATCACACACATACACAGTGAAGAAACACGTTCGTTTTTCCCCGGTGGTGCCTTTTCGAGATCAGGCCCGACTCTCCCCTCTTCGCCCATGCAACGCCGACGTATACTATATATATATAGTTTTTCCGAGTAAAACCGATATGAAAATATGCATACAAGCTCAGAACTGAGCATGGTCCGGGGAAACTAGAACAAAATAAGATTCCTTCGTAATGTTTAGTATCTAGCATGTTGTGTACACTGGTTCTGCGTTACTTCACAATTGATTCGATTCGATCCAACCGATCCTGGGCCTTCGGGCGGCGTCGTCGTCGCGGAGACGGGGGGCAGGACGAGCAGAAATTGGGACGAATGAAATCAATGGATAGAAAGGAAAAAAAAGAAACCGAGAATGAAAAGAAAACGGTAGAGGACGTCGTGTGTGTAATTAAAACGTTCGATCGAGAACGAAGTTCCTTTTGAATAACGGTACGCGCGGTTTTAGGGTGTTGTGTATCCGCGAGAAAGAAGAGAAAGAATGCCTAGACTATTTTCTGCCGCATGTTGTCTGTATGGTAGCACGTAAAAAGCGACAATATTAATCGCCCCTCCCTCCCCCACCCCCCTCATACCTATATGTAGATCTCCGAGTCGAGGAGTATAGTGTTGTACCCGAGGAACAAGATTCGTACTTCGACCAAGAGGAGACACGTTTCTCGTGTATGTCGCGATTCGATCGAAAACCACTGTGTATGTGTGTGTGTGTGCACACCATAGCGAGGATTAAACGTTTTCTGAACAGGAAACCTTAAGTATTCGTCGGGGGTCGTTTTTTAAACGAAAGCAAATAAGCAACGCGTTCACCGACGAGATTAATTTGTCTTCTTTTTTTTCGGTAAAAGCGTCCTGTACCGATTCGGTACGATTTATACATTCTTCTTTCCTCGGTCTATACTTCACTCTCTCTTTCTCTCTCTCTCTCTCTCAACATGTAGAGATACGTTTACTACTTGTTTTGTTTTAACAACAGTGTACGTAGGACTTTATCGCACGCGGAGAAAAAAGGGGTTGTAATTTTTTAGAAACATCGTTTAGGTATTACGCGCGGGCTTTCTTCCTTTATCCCTTTACTACTCTCTCTCTCTCTCTCTCTTTCTCTCTCTCTATGTTTCTTCGTCTTCTTTTATGTATTGTATGTTTATATATTGTAGAGATTTCTTTTTTGTTCTTTTTTTTTTAAGCGGCTTTTATTTAAGCGACGATTGCCGGATCGATTCGCGTCGAGAGGGTGTGGAATTATTGTATATCTCTCTGCGAGACGATACCACGCGCATAATTAAACGTCCATTGTAAATATCGGTGCAATAGCGAGACCTAAAAGTAAATTCGATCTTACATTAGTATTTCGTCGCGAGACGTGTGTGGGCGCAAGGTTGATTTTTAAAACGGCCAAGAAATTAAGATAGAAACGTGGGGAGGGGTAAGAAACGAGCGATGATCGCGGTTAGGATACGTGGAGGAGGGTGTGTGGGATAATTATGCGCCCAGGATTTTTATAGTATCGTGTGGCGATCGCGTGTTCGGATCCGTGGTGAACACATGTGAGAACGTTGATAAAGAATGTAACAAAAGGGAGACGTAAACGAAGATAAAGAAAGCATTTTAGGGTTGGGAGGGAGGGGGGTTTAATCGAAACGACGAATCGTTACCGATCCGATCGATGATGCCTTTCGGTTGTTGGCGCGGCGCCAACTCCGCGATTTTCCGTATTCCACCACACTCGCTGCTTCCGTGTAACGAATAGAGGCGTGGAGGAACGGGAGGCATTATTTAAAAAACCTGAAAAACATGATATGAAACCGTACTTGTTCGCGCGAGAACACATATATATTTGACTGGAAGAACGAAACGAAGTAGTATTCCTGTTCGACCGTGAGAGAGGATTGGACGACGATACGCGGCCAGAAAAGAGAGACTGCGAGACGGGAAAGGGAGGAGGGGAAAAAATCGAACGATAAAACCGCTATTGTAAGAACTAATAGTATAGTTAGAGAGGTATTCTCGATATATGATATTTTTCGACGATAAGACTTAGTTGCGTTTTCGTAGGGGGTGAGGGGGAGGGGGTGAAGACTCGCGCGACGGGTACGAACCAGGGGAATTGGGGTTGGGAGGGTTAATTGTAAAATGATCCAGGAGA